TATATATATATAGAGAGAGATATAGAGAGAGAAACCCCACACACACACACATACATACATGTATAAACACCCATGAAAACTCCAGCCATTGCATGTGTATGTCATGTCTCGCACTCCAGTGGTCAGTTGCCTAGATGGTCTCCCTATTCTTGAATCTCACCGGATTTCTTTCTCACCTTTACATCGATTTTCCATCGCTTTTAGTCTGCGTGAACCGACCAGGAAAGGTCAGTCCTCACAGAATCTCGAAACATGCATATGTAAGAAATGTGAGATATCGGTTTAAAGACTTCGTATGGTCTCAGACTTCGCCGCCGCTGTGAAAGCAGTTGAAAAATCAGGTGTGCATTCTGAAATCGATCAGCACGTGCTGCCACTTCTGATAAAGTCGCACGAGGAACTGTGCCCGCACAATGGCGATGTCGCACAGCGTGTGGAGTTCTTTTCTTGCACAGTGCGGTGTGGCAGGTTTGGGGTTGGGCTACCCGGCAAAATTGAGCATGACGAGATTGCTGCAGCTTAGGAGTGCCAGTACTCCTGCGTCAGCTGCCACCTGCCGATTCTTCGTGAAGCTCACGTGACACCTGGCTTTACGAGGGTTGTTGGAAAACGTCAGACTTGAAACTGTCTGCCATCAGCCGCTGCGCCAGAGGAACTGCTGCAAAACGTGCAAGCTCTTCTGGCATCAGGATTGCGCGAAAGTTCCTTGGGTGAAGCTTAGGGGGTTTGACATCACCATCGCATGCAGGACGATTGAAGTTCAGAAACCATCAAGCACAACAAGCACAAGCTGGGGAGTGCAGGGTTCCGACGGTTGTCTGTCCGACGCTTCTGGGAAAGACTGGTTGCTATTTCAAGGCGAAGCAGCTATACACTGCGGCACGCAGGGCCTCTGCTGTCAAAGCCAAGAACAAGAAGGTTCGGCTCAGCATTGATCTCGGATTTGTATGTCTTGCGGTTTTCAAGGTGGGGGAAGTTCCGAGCTCATCTCTAATACTCTCATAGAGATTGATTGGGTCGTCAAAAGCAGGGCTACAGACTCTCGCCATCCTGTATCCCCAGGCATCGCCAGCGCCGCCCATGCCAGCACCGGCGCCGGAACCAGCCCGCAGCACGCGGAGTAGTGCAGTTTGGCAGCAAGCGACTCGATCGGTGCTTCAGGAGCGGTGTAAGCCTTGAGCCCGGTTGGACGCTTCTCTGCAAAATCTGAATCAGGCCGTGCTGCCCAGAGCCTCGACTGTGCAGCCTACAGGGGTGCCTGTTCCCAGCAAAGGCTGGAGTTCTTGTTTGGCCTCCCGAAGTTGCGATGTTTGCAGAAGCGCATCGCCGGATCGTGAGCTGCTTGCCAGTCTTCGCCTACGCACCGCTGGTGCGAACCGTCACCGTGCCCGGCACCAAAGTCGAGCTTCTTGGCATAGTGGAAAATCGTAGGAGATCTGCATGAGCCGAGACTTGAAAACCATGGAGCAGAGCCAAGAGCAAGCCAAAGGATTGGGGCGGCCACGCAGCGGACGCGGAAGGCTTACATCCCTCTCCAGGCTCAGCGCTCGGGAAGAATATGAGCGCACGGCAAAAAAGAATGCCGCAGCTGAAGCAGGGAAGAAAGGAAGTGAAGGAAGTGAGGAAAGGAGGACGGGAGGAAGGACGGCGCAGCAGGAAGGAAGGAAGCTGAAGGAAGCACAAAAGGAAGAAGGGAACAAGGAAAGTGTGTAAGGAAGAGCGAAGGGCCGGATGCCCATGGGAGAGCAGGGCCCTGAAGATCTGGACATTCCCTAAGTTCTGGGTTACCTTGGGTCGTTGAAACTCCGGAGCCTTCATGAGCTGTGCTGCCGTGCTATCCTTCAAGATCTGCGTTCTCAAGCTGATCATAAACCCAAATATTTAGGGATAGGGACACGCCTATTTGAGCCTAGGAACGGAATTGTCTCGGGTTTTCGCTGCTGCAAAGACCTACAAAACTTATTTTCGCACAGCTCGCGCAGACGAAAAGAGAGCATTGCATCGTCCTGGACAGCGAACGCTGGCCGATTGTTGAAACACGGCATGCATGATCTTGGTGCAGAGCATATTCCTCAACAGAGACGGCGGATGGACCTCAAGCAGTAAATCCCGAAAATTTTCCCAGGGCCTGAGACGATTTTCACACTGGAAGGAGTACCCAGCGCAGACGACAGAGTAGCCCAAAACCCAGAGCTTGCGAAGCTCAACAGCACCCAAGAATCAAGTTTACCAGTGAATTTGACGTCGCCATGGGTACGCTGGTCGGAAGTTATTAATTAGTAGTAGGAATCATTTACTATTCGGGAAAGCTTCATTTCATGAAAAATATGAGAGCAGATCATGGCAATGTTCACCTGAAAATCAATAGGTGCAGTGTGTTTCTTCACTTCCGCATGGAAACCTAAGACTTCGCCTGGAAATATAACGTCATGATGTAGTAAATTGGAGGAAACCTTGCAAGTTTTGCAGAAAATGAGCACAATTCAGTGCTGTTCATCGTTTCTGCGTGGAGGCCGAGTGTTTCCTTACGTTAGAGAACATTTCGGGGAAAGATAGGTAAATGTTCGGAAATCTTAAACCTCCCGCCGAAAACGCACAAATGTCAATGTTTTGTCTTTTCGAAGCCCTAAGACCTAAGATTCACCCTTTATTATTCGAGTGAAGATTGCAGAATAAGGGATAAACTTGCGAAAACCGTGCAATTCTCGCAGAAGATGAGCACAATTCTTTGTTGTTCATAGTTTCTGCGTGGAGGCTCGCGGACAAACCGATATAAACTTGAGCTTACCACAAGGACGGGGGGGGGGTGCCTTCTCCCTCCCCCCTCCCAAGTGTCCCCAGGGCCCCACCCGGGTCCCGGTCATGATGCGCGGCTTTCGGCGGGCTACCTATACCCCAACATTACGAAAAAAAACTCGAAATTAGGTGGGGTCGGCGGCACTGGCGGTCGCGCCTTTTGCTAAAGCAAAGCTAGCAAGCTATGGCTCGCCTGAGGCTCGGACTCACAAAACCCACGCGCACGGGGACCAAGCGCTGCCCGATTGAGCTGACGCCGCTGCCGCCGACCCCGGCAAGTGGCGACTGGCCAGCCCCATGTAGCTCGCTGCCCTGTGCCATACTGGCACATTTAAGCCACCCAAAGCATCTGAAAGCGGGAAGATACAGCTCTACAGCTCTCTGCAGCCGCGCAAACCCGCGACAAATAAGGGGTAGGTGGGGGGTAGGGAGGTAGGGGTAGGCGAGTAAGAGTCGGAGGACTCAGGGCAGGGGGGAGGGGGCCAAACGTCGAGGTCATAGACGCGTAATTTCCTGACTAGGGTAGTGGAGGAAGGCAAGGGGTGGAGGGTAGAGGAGGGTGGCACAAGGTTGGGCTAGGGGCGTGAAGGGCAGAGGGTTTTCGTCGTCCCCGCCATTTTTTCACTAAGTTTTTGTTTGCGGGGGGAGGGTGGTTGGGTAGGGTAGGAGGACGGTTAAAGCGCCAACAAGCGGCTTCCCCGGCACTCGCCCCCACAAGCGGGGTCGGCGGACTTTGGGGGAGAAGTATAGACAAGTAGGTAAATGTTGGCAAACTTCGGTGTTTTCGCACGGAATGTTAGCTTTTGGCCTATCTGTGTGGAAACCTAAGATTTCGCGCCGACACTTTAAGCATTTAGAATCAGAATCCTGGTTCCTATTGTGTTCTTTTTCTGCAATATACTGTGTACTTTTTCCTCAGATTGCATGTTTCCCTTTGATCGAATCTTCATTCCAGTTCGTGACGACTAATTAGTATTCAATGGCCCCTGTGGCTGCCCAGGCATGTAGAATAAAATGACGTTGGAAGAAGATACTGAGCCGTGTAGCGATACAAAAAGCGAGAAAGCAGGCAGCGATGAGCCAATGACCCGAAATGTGAGCTGAGCCGAGGCGTGGAACTTCCGCGTGCCACCCCGGAAGATTCAGACTGCGGCGCTAACCCGGTAGCTGGTCAAATTTGGTCCGATTATGTTTGTATCAGGATAATTTTGGATCGTGCCGGGTGTCCCACAGCAGTGCTGTCGTCATGGTCATGAAATGGCACAAAAGTACACATTTGTGCAAGGGCAGCACACAAGGTCTGCATGTGCCACAAAACATGAAGAGTCTGGTGCTTGGAGGGTGGTATCTGGCATGCTCTGTCAGGCCTTGTGTCGAGACATGATCACTTCATCCACTCCATAATTGCCTGTCTGCGGACTCGCAGTGGCAGCCAGGCCACCATTTCTGGGCCCACTCGCTTCTTTGACCTGTGCTCAAGGTTATCGGAACCGCCCCTCACGGCCACGGAGGCAAGGGAAGGAGGGATGAAGAGGGAGGGATAGCACACCGGGTGCGTTCAGCTATTGCAGCCAGCCTGGCGGCAAAAGGTCTTCTTTTTGCTCTGTTGCTTGCAGGAGCTCGTGGAGAACACCGAAGGCCTCCCTGGGCGGGTGGAGCGCCGCGCGGATCTGGCGACTCGCAAAGGAAGCGCATTCGCGGCAAGCTTCGGCCAAGCGGAGCGGCAGTCCGCTTTTCAGGGAGCCCATGCCCACGCAGTGCTTAACTCTCTCTGAGGATCGCCACGGCAAGCCGCCTGGACGAGAGAGACATCCCCTGGTTCCACTCCTCAAGCTTTGAGAAACATGCTGCATCCCATCTCGGGCAACAATTCTTCAGAGAAGGGCGTGCTTCGGATTTAGTCTGGTGGGCGGGCCTAGCTTTATCGCTGCAACTGAGAGCGTGTCAACGGGACTGAAACTAGATGTGTTACAACACCATGTCAACATATGAAGGGAGAAGCTCGAATTCTGCGACCCCACGATTTGCTACAATCGTCATCGAGCGCATTTTCAAAAATGCCAGCGCGGTTCGGCAAAACGTCCCGCATTGCCGTAATTACTGAGATACCGCGCAGCACTCCGACCAGTCTTCGACAGAGAGATTCAGGTGCGACCCGGTTTTCTCGGCAGTGATGCGAGAGTATTGCCACATGTCCGCTTTGGCATCCCAGCTGCGACAGCTGAGAAGATCTGGCTGGCAGTAGCGTCATAAGCCGACTCTTCCTCTGCTCTCTTCCGAGACTCTCATCCGTCGTCGACCCCCTCAAGCCTGGGAGCTGCAGCATCCCTTCGCTAAAGAGGTGGAGGAGGCTACTTGGCAAATCTTGGCAGTGTAAGCTCTGTTCTACTCTCCGGAGGTCATCCCACGGATTTCACCTCTCTTCCGTACCAATGCTGGCAGGACAAGGCCATCGCATCCGTGGCAACTCAAGGATCCAAGGGAAATGAGAGCAAAGGCTTTCAGCGCCTTCAAGAAGACTTTCTGAGGAGCGCAGAGAGTGCAGGGATGCCACGCATGGCTTCTTCAATATGCTGTGGATCTAGTATCACATCTGCTCTGTTGTGGAAGTTGTAAGTGCATGACATGGCACCGGCCGGCTTCAAACATGCCTCAGGACCCACGGGCACCAGATTAAGGTGCGGATCTGCCGTCCTGCTTTCCGCGAGTCTCCTTGTCTGCTGCAGCTTGGCCGTCCTGCTTAGCTTTGTGCTGCAGGAGCAACTCTCTTCGGTCTTCCAGGGACCGATCAGCATCAAGCACGCCGAGGCCGGAGACCGTTTGTACAGTGGATCCGTGGCTTTGAAGCACGAAGGTCGGCCGCCCAGCCCAGGAGCGCTTCATGGATGCCATGCCGCTCTACAGAACTGGACCTCACGGCACGAGTTCCGTGTGTAATCCTCAGAAAAGAGCCGTACCCGTTTGCCAGGTCCGAGGGCTATCCGCTGCTCCCAGCCTTCCACGGCTCGCAAGCCGAGCTCCTCGACAGACAATTCGCGGCAAAACGTGTCTGGCGTTCCCGCCCCCTCCCGGCATGGAATGTTCTGCTGGTAGGGGTGAGGGGGGGTGTGTGCGGGGAGGGATCTAGCTGTGGGGGCGTGCTGTTGGGGGCGGCCAGGGGTCACAGAGAGGGGCGGGATCGCAAGCCATAAACCCTATAATGAGGGCTCCCTAAGCCCTTATCGACTCGAAGCCTTATATCTTTTTAACCATAAGCCTCACCTAAAGCTAAACCCTAAATGCCAAAATCCCACAGCCACCCCACAGGGGGAAGAGGCGGCATCCTGGGCCATGGACTATGGGGTGGGGTGGGGGGGGTGGGCGCGGAGCGCCTGACCTTTTGTGCAAGCGGAAGCGGCACAGAGCAGTGCACCTCGGCAGAATCCCGTTGAAGAGTTGCGTTGTGCGAGAGTAGGGCTTCCAGGAAGCGAGCTTCTGCCATGATCGACATTCTAGAGCAATGATAGGCTTGCTGCTTGCTCAAGGCTCCGAGGGAGGCACAAGGGTTCGGAACCACGGCCAGGAACTATGCTTCGATCTGCTCACGTGGTTTGCTGATTCCCGGCCGTGACCTACCTGCAAAAAGGATGGTGCTTTCCGGGCTTGGGCAGGATCTCGCACTTCTTACGTGGAATCTCGTGTGTGTGGAGCAGCGTATGCGACTGGTGGCTGAGACGAAGAGCAGCTCAGCCTGGCTTGGGAGTTCGGCTGGCGTTACTGAGTGAAGCATCTTGCACTCGCATGACGTCGTCTTCGATACTCTAAACAAATCCTTGCGCTGCACGGTGCTGCACAATTCACAAGAACGATCAAGAACGTAGGAATGTCGCGTTGAGCGCTCTACGAGCCAGCATGGATTGCAGGATTCTTCTAGCCGAAGGACTCACTCAAAAGCGGAGCCGCATCATTTGCCCGAGGCGGCAACGAGTTAAAAGTTGTCAACGGCTCGGTGCACGGTCGCGGGATCTACACCGCCGACCTCCAGAATCCTAGGCTGGGGCTGAAGCTTCGAAAGAACCCCTTTTGATCAGTAGGCGAAGATTCAAGAACACGGTACTTGTCTGCACAGGCTGTCTGCTGGCTTCTGCACGGATCCCAAGATGCTTGTTTGCCAGAGACCCGGCAGGGAAAGCTGAAGGGACGGCATGAACTAGCAGGGCATGTTTGATGTCTCGAAACCACGCCACATGAAGTAAATGCAAAGCCAGGTGGCGTCCTAGACGATTCTCAACACCTCGCAGCGAGCAGGAACGGCCTTCGCAGTTGAATATCAGATTTTCTGCAACAATTTGATGTATCCAGTATCCAATTTGCGTTGTTGGCCCAGTCCTGTCCGGCGCAACCCGGACTGTAGAAAGAGAAGACCCGGGAAGCTCGTAAATTATGCATGCGCCCGGACTGTTATGAGTCAATCGATGCATGTGGCTGTTGTCAGCTTCTGTCGAGCACTACCAAGCTGAGTACAGTATGTGGATGGGCTATGGGCTTATCTTGCTGCCCGACCGAAGGTTCAACAGAACCTGTCATGAACTACATGATAGCCGCTATGTCATAGCCACAAAGCAGCAGACATCTGGATTTTTGCCTCCTCGCAGGACTCTCGGCAACCACCAGCTCAAAGCTGAGTCTCAGGCCATCAAGCTGCCTGACTTCAAGGAGACGTCTTCCTTTTCAGATTGTGCATGACCTCTTAATTCACTTGCCCCGCTTCGCGCTTTGAGCAGATCCTGCGCAGTTTGAATTGGTTCTCGGAGTGGCTCAGACGAAGCTCGCACAGCACTGGAAGATGCAACTGCAGATCTCGCTGACGGCCGGGCCACTTGAACACCCACCCACTTGCAAAAGTAACGATTATGAGCGATTCATCGCACGCAGAGCAGCTTTCAGCATCATTTCGCGCCGAACGGTTCGGACGATATACACCCTTCAAGCTCCGTTAAGATGCTGTTGCGGATGCTGTGGCAAGCGACGGGGAGGAGGTCAGACTGTGATGCAACCCCGCCCCAGCCACAGCCTGGTCGAGTACTTGAGGCTAGAGTCTAGGCCCGATGCAGCATGGAAGATGATGAAGATGCACACAGTTCCCAGCTTGCTGGCTCCAAGAGAGAGCCATCACCGCCCTCGGTGTTATCTGTGGTTAGAGTCAGAGCCAAACGGATTGGTTCAAAAGCTCTCACACGGCATAAAGCACCGAAAACGTACAGCTTCTTGCATGCACGGTCCCGTGGCCCAAGGCGACTGGGCATACGGCTCTTGAGGATAAGGTTGGAGGACGGAAGAGCTTTCAGGACGACGGTTTATCAAGCATAGCTGCAAAGCGGATGCGCCGAAAATCTCAACCCTCTCACCAACTGCTCATCACCAAGAAAAGACACAAAAGCACCAATGGAGCAGCATGCCGCAGCACATGTGAGATCCAGAGGGTCCTTGCAGAGCAGAGCCCAACAAAGGCACGTTGGAGACGCCATCGTGGTCTTTGATGAGAGACGGGTCGTTCCCCTGTTCCAGGCAGGGGGCAAGTATCTTGCTACTCCGGCCGTAGGCATGCGTAGGCACGCGAATCTTCATTCATCCAGGCTTCGTGTAATGCAGCAGCATGGGCTTAAGCACAGATCAAATGTTGATATGTGGCAATCCTCTTGTGCTCCAAGGCCTCGGGCAGTGCTTTCCAGCATCGCCACTGCTCAGCTCCGCTTCCGACGACCGTAGGCCACACAACGGTTTGAAGAGTTTTGAGGCTTTGGAGGTGCCGGCTTTGTGTGCACCAGGAAACGCGTTTCACCGTGCAGGTGCTCCAGGTTTACACTCGCCCACCCACCCAAACCCCACCCCACCGACAGCAAACTACGGTCTGCAGGTCCTTCCCAAGTGTTGGGCAACTGGGCCCCGAAGCGAGCGGCGGCAAGCTACAATCCGAACCAGGTCAGGCGTCAAGTTTCACCTGATCCTAAATCACAGGATGAGTCAGAGTTCCGAAGGTATGTAGGATCTGGCTCGCATTGGAAATGAGTTGCCCAGTCAGTATCCCACAGAGTCTTTTGCAGGACCTTATCCACAACGGCATCATCACTGCAGGCGCAAGATCATTGGGATCCAAGCGAGTTATGAAGCATGCTGTGTCATAGCATCACGGCTGAGTTATTGCAAGGCAGTGTATTCTGAACGTCTGTCGCTGGCCGATACCAGTGACCGGACAGGAACTGACAAGGTCTTCCATGTCCGCACACGTCGCGAGCTTAGCGGGAAGGCTTGTATTTCTTGCACGGGCTTGTGACATGAACATGGTTGATCTTGCCACTTCATCCAAGCCATAGAAGCGGCCTTGCATAGGTCCTGCAGCTGAGGCACCCTTTGTGAAGCCACTAGAAAAGACTTTCCACTTGTTTAGGTCAGATGGCATACTTGCCTCCGACGCCGCTGTCGTCCAGTAACTTCAGCTGCAGATATGCAGATAGAGAGCCTCATTGGTCTGGGGTGCACAGAAGAGTCCATAGCTGCGAAGTTGCGATGCAGGCGATGCGACCCAGAGGAAGCGCATCTACGAGCGCAAGGCCGCGGGCCGCGGATGTCTCCACCAGCATGACGTGACAGCCGTGCACGGTATGGGCCCAACATTTAGGTTTAGTTCGTGGTATCATTCGGACATGTTGCCACTCTGGGAAGCCCGACGGAGAGTTGGATCAGCAAACATGCTCGGTTGCCTGCCTGCAAGTCCTCCCTTGCAGTCAGGAAAACTAGCTGTGTGAAGCTTTCGGGACTTGTCGTTTGCCTATGCAAATAAAATCACGTTTGTGAAGCCACTAGACCACCAGATCAAAAACTTAGCGCATGTGGGTCCTTATCTGGTGTAGCAGCCCGCCCTCTCCCCATTTCCTCAAGACTTGTACATATGTGCTTACTTGGGCCATGTGCACATGTGCCCAATGCCGCTTCCCCTTTTGTGGCCCTCTTCTCCAGGTTTCCTGTACAATCCCAGCCCGACAGCAGCCGACCACAGAGCCGGATTGGGAAGCTAAACGCTCACATCGGGGTGATAGCCCTGAATCCTTGAACCTCAAAGTTCGGCCAAGTGCAAAGCTGTCAGGTGCGGAACCAGCGCATCAAGGTCCTCCGGGAGATGAAAGTGGAACAGGCAACGGTTTTGGCAGTGCATGCCCACAGCTCGGACGGATTTCGTGGTCGATGGGTTCCGAAACATTGCGGGGACCTGTGCCGCCGGTCTCTGTGCCATGTCGGCTTGTACGCAGCGCGCTTCTAAGGACGAAAGCCTTATTCTCGTAGTCCGAATGCTCGAGCGGCAAGTCAGCGCGAGCACGCCCAATGCAAAGGGCAGGTTTTTATCCAAAGCCGCCAGCTGTGCAAGCACACAAGAGGCACACGAGTCACTCTTCACCGTGGCGTGAATGTTCTTCGGAGCCAATCTTGTGGTTGCATGTATGTACACTTGGGGGATCGATGCGAGAGTCGGTCAGCGCACCCTTCCTGTTGAATCACTTTGTGCAGACGTCAGAGCAGGTACCATGTCCGGGGAGCATCAGACATATCGGACATGTTGCTGAAGTTTGCATGTCCGTGATAAACCTGAGGAGGCTCCCGGAATACTGGCCCTCCCCGGGCAAGTCCGGGCAAGAGTACGGAACAGGATACTGCACGAGCCCTCTATGCGAGACTTGATCCAAGCTAGGGCCGGACTGTTCTGATCTTTCTGAGATTCGGGGCTGGGATGGCTCGGGCTTTCTTCTGGAGTGCAGGCCGAGGCGAAGTGATGCCCGATGCAGAGCCCTGTGCAGTTGATGCCAAGCAATAGTTGCTAAACCCACTGTTGCAACCAACACCCCAGCACTACACAGTTGCAAAACATGAGAGTCTCTATGCGTGCAAAGCACGTGCTTCGCGTTTTTCCCGTGGCGCTGTTGCATCAGCGAGACGCAGCGCAGAAGCAGTCCCAGGCGAGTCGAAGTGATTAATTGCACAGCGGCTCCGGCAACATGAGTCCTTGCTGCGAGCCGTGAGTTTCTCTAAGACGTCTTAGGCTTGCACGGACGGTTTGGCATGTGGATATCCACAAGCGTGTAAAACATCAATGTGCAGCCTACATTCTTTATCTTTGCTGCTGTGGACATCTCGCCCAACCTCGGTTGGACTATGTAATGTACAGGCCGGCGACAGCATCCCAAAACAGCATGGAAGGTGCAAGGTGATTTTTTGATGTAATCGGAAGGGCGGATCATAGATGGGAGCCTTGAGCCTTGAGAACAAAGCTTTAGCAGTCAAAGGCCATGCAGAGCCACTTACTATTGAGTCCTGAGTAGAGAGTTCCAAGGTGCTTTCGCAACATGCTACATCCGCGCAGTTACACACCGGCCAGCCGACCCGATTGAGGATAATCTGCCAGTATCTGTCAATGGAGAGCAACAGGGTGAAGAGGTGTAACGGGAACGCACAGGAAGGAGACTGAACCAACCTGTTGAATCCCCAAGAGTTGCATGCAGTGCCACGCTGTGCCTTTGAGGCCCGAGATGTTGAAGGAGAAGGCCGGAAGCGGTGGCCCTTCTGGCGACACGGCCTCAGAGGAGAACAGGAAGCCCCTTGCTGTGCCAGCTTGCCCCATGCTTTTACTTTAGATCTCCAAAATTTACGACCCGGTGAGTGCTCAAGTGTAGATGCAGAAGGCTGCAGCTGTGACGGCTTTCTTGCAAGTTGAAGCGCTGGGGACTCAGAACCGGCATTGTGGAAGAGCTGTAGGCGGGAAAGAGGACGCTTCTCGGAACGTAGCTGTTTGTGCCGCTCAGGGATCCTCGACCCAAAATATGGCCAGATCTGAACAACCCCTCGTGGTGCTGAGCATGCCTCAAGCCGATAGAGTCACCGCAACGGTCTGGTAATTGTGTAGCGATCATTTGATGATCCGACATGCGTGTCAATACGCATAGCGTACCGCTCAGGCGGAAGGCCTTCAACCAAAAGCTCGAGATGGTTGAGTCTACTGGGCGCAAGCCCGAGTCCGAAGGTTGGCACTGTCAATGTTTGCACACCGCTGCAGCTGTCAAGTCATCGTCGCCTGTGGGTGGGGCCTGAAGCTGAGGGAGGGAGGGAGGGAGGGAGGGAGGGAGGGAGGGAGAGGAGACACTGCCGCAGCACTGTGCTCAAGGAAGGGCCCATCGCGTCTCAAGCCTAAGCTTAAGCACTTACAATCTACTCTCAAGGACCGTTCCAAGCCTTCCAAGTGAGCTTGACCTCCAGCAATGGATTTCGACGACCTCTAACCACTCTAACCACGCGTGCCTGCACCAACGAACAACTCCCCATTTCTCCAACCCAAATCCACAAACCACAAGTGTTTTCCCTGCGTCCAGAAATTCCAGCGGAGTAGAGAGCTAAACAGCTAAACCATCAAAAAGGCAAAGAGCTAGCCAGCTGTCCAGACTAGGGGCTGCATAGCGCACGTAAGCAAAAAGTCGCATGCGTGTAAGGCTTGCGCACCGAGTGCTAAAAAAAAAGGCAAGAGGAGTGCACTCAAGCCCCTGCTCCTGCTCCTGCTGCTGCTGTTACTACCCCTACACGACTGCGACTCCGACTACGACCGTGACGACGGACGGCCGCTGTTGCCACTGCTGGTACCCCATAATAAGGTAACTCTTCATGTAACCAGAAGCCATGAGACATTCACATGTTGAGTATCTCCGAACCCTTAAGCCGAAGGCCTCGACACTCGAGCTGGGATTCCCTTCCTGTGCGTCAGGGGGACTTTGCGTGCATCACTTGGTGCTTGGGCTTTTGCATCTGTGAACCTCGCCAACCCTGCAATCATGTTCCGGCTTTGTGGAAGTCTTTCCAGGCAAAGTAGGGTTAGGATCCAAGCTACGCATCCGGAGTGGTCACGTGGCAACGGTGGCCTCATGGCAGCACACACCAGCCCGGAGTCCGTTAATATCCCACAGCGCCGAAGATTCCGACTCCATGGCTCCGTGACAGGATGTGGGCTCAAAGCTTTTCGGGCTTTAGGGCTTTAAGCCCTTTAGGCTTCGCCACAGGGGTTCGGGAACCAACTTCACCAATGCGGACAGCAAAGTTTTTTTTTGCATGGGTTTAGGACCTAGAAATGCTCGGTGAAAGGCTTTCGCAAGCAGCCTGTTTAGGAAGCCATAAACCCAAATTGCATCAGCCTTTCATGGTCGAGGCTCCCCCCCACTTCGGGAGAACTGTTCCCTAACTCGTTCGCAACATCTCGAGCTCTATCTAGAAGTCGGAGGCCCTGTGTAAGCCCTTACATCCGAAATCTAACCCGTACACCCCAAGGCTTGGGGTTCAAGGGTTTTGTTCATCCTTGGGTCTGGCAGAAGTTTCGGCTCTTCGTGATGGGTGCTGTGCGCCGGCACGGAGGTTGACAGAGCTAGAGCCAAAAGCAGCTGCAGGAAAGGCTCCGGTTTAGGGTTCAGGGACGTAAGGCTGCTACTATAAGGGTTCAGGGTGTAGGGGATACCTCAAGGGCCACAGATAATCATCATGCCTGCAAACTGCCTGCCCCTTACCCCCCACTCATGCAGTGCATAACATCCTAAGCCTGTAAAGCCCTAAGCCCTAAGCCGTGCACCCCAAAGCTCTACACCTTGCACCCTGCAGCCCTAGATTCTCGAAGCCGTCTATAACTTTGCATTCGAGACCATGCAGTGGTATAGCACAGTATGGTCTAGCATAGTGTGGTATAGTGTAGTATAGTATCATAGTAAAGTTTGGACAACTTTGAAACCATGCAGAACAAGGAGTTCGGGCGTTCAGGGCTGTATAGTGCGTGGTTTCGGGTTCGACAACAATCGGCTAAGGGTGGAGATGAAAATCGGGCTTATCGCACAGCATCCAACACTTCGGCATTCAAAAGTGGAGCCTTCCTTCGCAACTCTAGATTCTAGACCCAGGGTGCGATGTAAGCTACAAGCCCTAAACCCTAAACCCTAAACCGCCCTAACAAACCCTGAAGGACAGTAGAGTTCGAAGCAGACTGGTTCAAGGCCCAGGTCTTCTGTGGCAGACGATGGCCTTGAAACCCTCAAGCTTGCTAAGAGTCGCCCATCGTCGGATTAATGTAGGGGCCTAAATGATTACAATACTCGTTTTTTTTTGGGGCGGGGGTGGGGGGGGCGGCTCCTTTTTGTGATTATAGCGTAATGGGCCCCAAAACCCTATTNNATTATTAAGGCCCCTATATTACAAGATTTAGTTTACTAGGGTCTTGAGCCCGGAATCTTAGACCTCAATTCGGCAAAACCCTCAGTGCCGAACATCTCTGCGCCATGAACCCCAAAGCCTATACCCGACATCCCCCAACATCCTTGGCCTTGAGCCCTTTCTATGAAGTGCGCCACGGCTGGCAGCTACGAGTTCGGGTGCAGGGGCTTCGGATCGTTGTCTCGGCATGTACAGGTTTCAGGGTTGAGGCCGGTTGGGGTTGAGGATTTAAGGCCTCAGCGCTGCAATCTTTCGGGTTTCATAAAAGCTTAGCATCACCGCTCCTGAAGGATGTGTGACAAACTGGGTGCCCTGCGCGAGGACGTCTCTGGCCCAGGATCCAAACCATGAGCCCTAGAAACTTTCGCTAGCCCCCAAGAATGAAATAGCCACAGCAGCGAAGGCACCGTTTATCATGCTCCAGAAGCACCTGGAGTACTCAAACATTCCCCCAAGCCGCCAGAATCCAGCTTCTTCTGTTTTCTCCTGGAGACGGCGAGTTTAGCTGCCCAAGCGCAGGACCTCTTCATCATTGCAAATCATCAGCTTTGTCTTTGGCCTGTCTTCGAGGTTCAGCCTCGTCACGGCGGCATACCACCGCCACGATCACCCCGACATGCACAAGAAGAGTAATATTGCAAGGTTGCTTGTTAAGACGAAGAAAAAGAAGATAGTATTTCATGGTTGCTTGCATTCCTCATCTGGGTTCGGAGCCGTGTTTGACGAATGGCAGCTCAGCCATCGGGCATTTCTGCAGGGGGTGCCGAGATTTGCAACAGCAACAACAACAACAACAACAACAACAACAACAACACCAACACCAACACCAACACCAACAGCAACACCACCAACAACAACAACAACAACAACAACAACAACAACAACAACAACAAC